GGCATGCAGAACATCCCAGGTTTAATCCCCAGCGCCTCCAGTGAAGAGGATTGCATAGTAGGTGACGTGAAAGCCCTCTGCCCGAGCTCCTGGAGAGCCACTGCCAGTCTGAGTAGACAGTCAGTGGACCAATAGTCTGATTGACCAATTGATGGACCAATAGTCTGATTCCATGTAAGACTGCTTCATATGTACGTGTGGCTTGGTTTTCCTGGGGAGTGGGTCTCAGGAATCCCCTCTCCACGGGCTCTGTTCAAATGCAGCCACAGGACCGAACTGACCCATTCCTAAGACGGAAAGTCATCTTCTTAATCGGTCTTCTGTTTTCTTACACACTTTCCCCCTCCAATAATCAAATCATGCCCACAAGAAAGAAAGAATAGTGGACGCGAGAGGAACACCCCACCTACCCTAACATGGCTACTCCCTTTTTCCTTGTATCCACAGTTCCGCACAGTGACCGGCAATGAATATCTTTTGCAATCAGATAGTGAAGTTATCAGCCAAGACTGGTATCAAGCTATCAAAGGAGTCATCCGGAGGCTGGTGAGCGGAAGCCGCGAGTGGGGAGGAGCTGCCAAGAAACTGTCTTATCCTGACCCAGCTGGGGGATCATAAGGGCTCAATTAAGCATTACGTGTCTTGACTTGGATAGCCCAGGGTAGCCCAATCTCATCACATCTCAGAAGCTAAGCAGGGTCGGCCCTGGTTAGTATTTGGATGGGAGACCGCCAAGGTTTATCAGGGTCGCCGTGCAGAGGAAAGCAATGGCAAGTCACCTCTGAACAACTCTCACCTTGAAAACCCCGCGGGGTCACCATAAGTCAGCTATGACTTGATGGCGAAAAAGAAGCATGATGTGTGAACCCAGTTATGATATTATATGTATTCTGACTGTGACATGGGAAACTCCAGAACGGGGCATATGGCTCCCCCATGGCTGTTTCAGCTCGAGAAAATGGCACAGGAGGGAACGATGAAACTCCTTCTTTCCCCATGCCATGCTTGCAAGCAGGAAGTGGCCCTGCAGCTCTCGGAAACACGGTTCCCCTGATGTTGCATGTACTGCTAGCTGCGTTGGGGGAGCCCCGACCCAGCTTGGGTCACACATAACCCTAAGCGGCTGAGCAAAGCTTGGGCCTGTAGAAGATGTCCAGTAGCAGGTAACATGCCAGGAGCAGCC